AGAACGAGAAAAGAGAAGTGAATTGCTTAATATAATAGGAGGTTCTGGGACTATTTCACTGCTCATTAAATATAACAGTGTTGTCTGTGGAACAAGGATAATGATGGCACTCATGTTACCATTGAGAAAAAGTTTGATCCTTGGATTTGAGGTCAGGAGACCTTGATTTGGATTCTGGTTCTATCACTTTCCAGCAGAATGGCCTTTGATGTTTCTTAATCTCACGATATTTGCTTGTCTGTCTATAAAAATGATTTATTAATTCATATGGCTGTGGTGAACTGAAAGTTATATCTATATCTATGTGAAAGTGCTATGTAAACTATTAAGCACTGTATTAGACTATTTGTATAATGTTTTAAATGTTCAAAGTCTTTTTATAGAAGGATAAATGTATACTAACTACAAAAATCATACATCAGAAGAATTTTGAGGGAAATCTTGCTCTGCCAATTTTTAAGTATATTATAAAGCCATAGTACTCTAAATAGTTTGGTAAGGCAAGATTAATCAGTGAGAGTACAGTACAGAAAAAAGAAGAAAAGAAATTGAACTTTAGTGTATGTAAAAGGTAGCCTGACAAAGTAATGGCACTAATTTGCATATGATTCTGGTATCACCACTTAGCTAATTTTTTTTTGGGAGAAAAAGCTGGGTTTCCACTTTACTATAAAAAAGTTTCCAGATGGATCAAAGGTAAAATTATAAAAATGAAATAATAAAAGTAAAAAATGAAAATGTGAGTGAATATATTAAAGCGTTTTTGGAGTAGAGAGAGAGATTTTTAACCTGGCACAAAAGTGAGAAAGAAAACATTTGATAATTTTGACTACACAAAGGTATTAAAAATATTTGGCATAAAAACTCTATATTATAAACAAAGTTGAATGTCAAATTACATATTAGAGAAATACATGTGACATGAACAGGTAAATTTTAATATTTAAGTGAGAAAGTTTTTTTTTTTTCAAATTTATATGAAAAAGACAAATGCTCCAATAAGAAAATGGGCAAGGTCATAACCCAGAAATTTAAAAAAATCATAAAAAAGACCTATTAATATATGTAGGCAGATTAAATCTTACTAGTAATTAAAGAAATGCAACTTGAGATAATGAAATATCACTTCTCATTTATTGGATTAGCAATTAAAAAGATTTACAATGCCTAGTATTAATGTGTGGGGAAATAAGCATATTTATGAATACTTACGAACTGCTAATGAGAATGTAAACTGAGCCACTTTTGGAGTGTAATGTAGAAATTAAGATGTTTAAAATGCATAGACCACTATATTAACACACGCAAGTGTTTGAATAAATAAATACATGGAAAAATAGAAGAATTTTAACTATTCTTCAAATATTAAAATAATAACTCTGTACTCCTCCACTCATTTGTGTGGCTGGCATATAGGGTTTTTCTTCCAAAGAATATAGTATGGAAAAGGGAGGAAATAACTTTACAACATAGAAAAATCTGAAAAACACTTCCACAACCAGGTAATAAATGTCAACACTGATGTCATGTTGATAATATGTACCCCTTTTATATGATGTAATGAAAATGATGCTTTTCTTCTGCATTCTTCCTCTCCAAAACATATAACCCCAGTCTAAACATGAGGAAAATATCAGGGAAAAAAAACAGTTGTGGGACATTCTGCAAAATACTTCATCAGTATTCCTCAAAACTGTCAAGGTTATCAAAAACAAGAAAAATCTGAGGAATCGTCATGCTACAAAAGCCTAAGGAGACATGACAACTGAATGTAATGTGGTATCCTGGATGGCATCAAGGAACAGAAAAGAAGATTAAGTAAAAACTAAGGAAATCTGAATAAAATATGGAATTTGGTTAATAACAATGTTATCAACATTGGTTCATTAATTGTAACAAATGCACTATTGTATGTAAGATGTTAATTAATAATAGAGAAAACTAGGTGCAATATATGAGAACTCTGTATTTTTACAACTTTTGTGTTAGTCTAAACTGCTTCTAAAATAAAATCTTTATTGAAAATAAAGAAAATATTTAAAATCTCTAGAGAAAAAATTTAAAATTGCATAGATTCTACACTCTGATAATTCTACTTCTGAGAATATATCCCCAAAATATGTTCATGCAAGTGTGCAAGGATGTATGAACCAGGGTGGTCATCAGAATGTTGACTATAATAGTGAAAAACAGAACAATTTAAAGATCTGCCAATAAAGGACTGATTAAATAAAATATCGTACCTGTACACACTATAATAATGTGTAGTTACTTAAAATGTATTTCTAAATTTATTGATATTTTCTGTATAACATATTTTTGAGAAAAAAGTAGATAAACTAGTATGTACAGTCTGATTCCATGGAGAGAAAATTATATGTGTTTGTGCATGTATGATACATATGGTTTGCACAGAAACTGGAACATCTTCCATAGAAACACAGGAATATCAAAATTTTAATAGTAGATATATCTGAGTGTTGAGATTGTGTGCATATTTTTTCTTTATATATCTTGAATACTCTAAATTTTCTACATTTGTATATTATTTTTATAATAAGAGATATATTAAAACTCCTTTCATTTTGATAATAAGGTTTATACATGCATTATGATTTACTTAAAGAATATTTCTGAGAATAACAAGCTTGAGTTGTGAAATATTTAATCATTTTTTATATTTAATAATTTTAAGTTTAATAATTTTTTGTCATTGGGGGCTGTGTTTTAAAGACTTATTGCATATCTTCCAAAGGTGCTGGTAGTACTTTTAAAAAGACATTTTTTAGTTCATACTTTTCAAATTGCTGAACTATGCTTTCTTATGCCATTTCTCTTCAAATTAGCCTTTTGTGATTTTACATAGCTATCTCTATTAGGAATGAGCTGACCTAACATACCTGATCTGTCTGGCAGAGACTGAGTGAGTGACCTCCTTAAGGCTGAGGACATCTATGGTATCTTGCTGTAATGTCAAATAATTGGGTTCTAATTCCCTACAATGAAGATGGGATTCTTCTCAATACACACCCTTTCAGTTTGTTCCCTTTATTAAGCTGGGTACACAGCTGAAACATTACAAGATGTCTTTGTGTGGATGTGAGGACTTTATTATGAATAACTGTCCTCAGACTGGCCTCCTGAAGTGTAGTTTCTTCAAGAAACTTAAGAATGTCTGTTAGTTAGAAGTCCAAACAATGGGATCTCATGATACAAATGAGAGAACTAAATATGTCTGTCAATTTCTCAGAATGGGTTAGGAGGAGAGAGCAGTAAGTTGGGAGGAGATTGCTTTGGTGACCCTAAAATGGAAGTTTTATTGGCATTTCCACTTTTTCTGTAATATTCCCTAATTCAAGCTCTTAACTCTTTGGCTCTTTTCTGGACCACTGTAATGAGCTTCCAACTAGTCTTACCTTGTGCAGGCTCTTCTCTTTATAATCTAATTTTTACATTTCTGAACACAAATCTTTTGAATCCTGTTTCCATCATGTTGCCTCCAGCTTAAGACTTTTTGCCTACAAAATAAAGTCTAAACTTGTTAGCTATGCACCTTCTCTCTTCTATCCCTTGGCTTAGGTTTTGGTTGTGGTTTCACCTGTTCATCCTTACAGCCAGCCTGAAGAGTCATCTTTATAAGAAGCCATCTCTGATCTCCATGATTGGATATAATTTATCCTCTCACCACAAACTCATGTCTGCTTTGCTCTCATGTCATGTGCTAACTATATATTTTGATTTTAAGTATTTACAGGCTTGTTTAATCTCCGGTGTTAGACTAAGCTCCACGAAGGCAAGATCCACTATCCATTTTAGTATGTTCACAGCATTTGGCAGGTTTGATGCTTAATAAATGTTTATTGCAAGAACAGGAGGCTCCCATTTCTGACATAATAATCTCACGTTTCCCAATGTTAATCCTATGTCTGCCTCCTGGCCTAGATTCTTTTTCCAAACCATTTTGATTTAGCTGTTTATTCTTATCTCATTAAATATTTAAATAATATACCTAACTTCCCTTGCTCTATCTAATTCCATGCTCACCAAGCAGTTTTCTCAACTTGGTTCCCAGTAAAGTTTGCTTCTGGGGAAAAATGTGTTAGACAAGCAGACAATTTATTCCCCCAGCCATGATAGTTCTCATTATAGATTTACTCAGTGGTTTCCAAAGTGTGATCCTTGGACCATTAGCATCAGCATCTCCTGGAAACTTGTTATAAATGCAAATTCTTGGTCCCACCCCAGTTCTACTGAATCAGAAACTGACATCAGGGCCCAGAAGTCTGTGTTTTAACAAGACTACCAGGTGATTATGTTACATGCTAAAATTTTAGAGCCATTGGAATAAGTTACATTCTTTGAACTCTTAAAAAAGTAAGGGTAAGTGAGCAACCTTGAAATTGGTCAACTCTGACTTTACAGGGCCGAGAGCCAGGCCCTGGTCTGTGATGATAAATAAGTACTAAGGGTCCACTTGTGAAATTTTCTGGAGAGCAGACTGTGGGCCTGTTCAAATAAGAGCCCAAATTTGCTTTGTATAGTTTCTATGTCTATTATTGAACCAAAGTATGATATTGTTCAAACATGCTATTGTTGTTATACAAAGATGTCTTTTAACACCAACTTTCCTGTATGTTCAGCTGGATAAGGGGGGAAAAAAAACTAAGACAAAATAAACAGTATTTTAGAGGGCAATCTCAAGAAAAGCAGTAATGGTCAACTTGCACAAAACATAGACTTCTAATCTTTGAAGTTACAATCATATAAAATGTGTATTTAGTTGTGACCCTTTTAACATTTTTTACTCATGACTTAAAAAAATATGAATAAGAACCAGTATAACAGCAAGTTAACTTGGAAAAAGCATAAAGAAATACATCTTTCACTATTCAGGGGAGGAAAATATGCAGAGCATCTAGCAATCACAAACGTATCACAAAATAATAGGTTTATTATCATATTTGTTAGATAATAAAGAGCAAAGACAAATATTAACTTACCATAGATTCAATTTTTCCACTCAAAGTCCTATATTTCTGTGTAGCTGATGAATTTAATTCATCACTATATTTAACATTTAGAATTTGAAAGCTGCTATGGTAAAAGTAAGATTTTTGATCTGTAAAACAAAGAAAAGGTAGAATCAGTCTCACATTAGTAAGTACTTTAATATTTAGTATATTCAAGATTATGGGAAGATATATTACATGATTAATTTCTTTTGCTTCTCTTAAAGAATATAAATGTAACTATAATAAAATTATTCTTTCAGTTTAAAAAAGATTGGCAAAGCTGGAACTATGAAAGATGTATCAAAATCAGAGTAGCATTATTTGAGAAATTTAATTGGTCAGAAACATTATAACTTTTATTCTAACTATATTTTAGGAAGATTTGTGATTGCAGATTTATTCATTCAAAAAGTATTAATGAATGTCTATAACATCATTAAGGAATAACCCAAAGTAATTCTGAATAGTTCTAAAATTCATTTCAAACAGTATTCTTTTTAGAGGATTTTTAGTGACTTGTCATTAGTTTTTTGGACTGAGCTAGAAAATAAGTTTTCTAATAAGATATCTAAGAATATATCCTCTGGAAGACCCCTTTTGATGAAAATAATTCACATTGAACAACTAGTAACTGTTTAGCTACTAAAACTGTGTTTTTCAGGAGACAGATCATGAATTAACAAGTACCTAGGTACATCCAGATTTTAGGTGTTGAAACTTAAGTTTCTTTGCAATATTGCATTTTTACAACTTTGTCAGGTTATTAATGAAAAGGGAAATTATTGTATTAATAAAAAACCACAAAATTGGTAAATTATAGTATCAGAAAAGTATCAAGACATTTTTTTCTTTGGCTAGAATAATTCATGCCTGGGCAATAGTGTTTATTATATTAAAAAAAGTCAAAAGAGAGAAGAGAAAAAAGTAATAATTGAGGGAAAATATAGAAACAAACATATAATAAGTAAGGTATATAATTATTTTATATTAAGAAATAAAAGTGGCCATTAAAGAATGACAGACTTTTAATCTGAAAATGTATTTATTTAGACTAAAAAGTGATACTTTTAATCTTCTGGTACTTACCAAAAACTAAGAAGTGGATCAGTAGAGCTGTCATCACTGCCAGGATTAACACCACTGCGACAACAACAAAACACACTACATATGGATTCAGGAATCTTGAGGTCGATGGCACCCGTGCTGGCCTTAGAACAAGAGAAAAACATCAAAGGCTACTCATTTTACTCAGAGAAGCCAGCATTTCAGTGCTCATAATCATTTCATGTCTTCCTAAGTCTCTTTAGCTTGCATGTGGTTCTATTTACAGGAAACAGAGTGATTCTTGATCGAAATACAGTCCTGGAAATAAACCTGACCTGAACAACATTCTCCTTAATGGCTTTTCTCTCAATTATTTTTCAGCACAAATATGTTGACATTTAGGTAGTTTGACAGAAGAATAAGGAAATCTGACCTATGGTTTGCAATTGCTTTTCCTTTTTTTGACAATTGATGAAATTCTCAAGAATAACAACTAATTGTTCTTTGTTTTGCTCTCTTTCCAAGACCCTGCATTGGACACGTATGTACGTGGTAAGCTCCCTCACCTGAGAATTGTCACCAGGGTTGTAGAGAAGAGCTATCATTTTGTATGAGGAAGGGGGTGGAGGGAGTCAGAACAGTAGCATTTCTCACTGTAATATTCTCCATATTATAAAAATGGGGGCATGGCCAGAGACTGATTGCTGAGATCCAGGAGAGTATAGCAAGCCTCTGAAATGCATTAGAATGGCACCATCAGCAGTGGATTTGTATGATTTATTATTTTTTCCCCCATGAATTTATCTGAAGTGTGAGCCAATAGATTTGTACTAATACAGCATCTGGTATTACATCAGGCATATTGCCCAGGTACTATCTTTTTCACTGCCTCCCTCCCTACCACATATACACTCACACTGGAGAGGTAGCCAGAAGAGCTGAGTGTGAATTCTTGTTTTATCTCTTGTTTGCTTGGAGATCATATTGTCATTTATCTGAGACTTAATTCATCTGAAAAATGGGAATAATAATACCTGCCTCACCAGGCTGTTTTGAAGATAAATGAGGTTATCTCAGGTGTTATATATTACTTATTTCTAGTTAAATAGGTTACACACTAGGCTGTGAGCTCTTGAGAGGAAAGGTGGTATTCAATGCTTATGTTTCTGACACTTTGTAGAGTGCCTGGCATAGATAGGTGGTTTATAAATATTTATGATATTTATAAATATTTGTTGCATGTGTTAACTCCTAGCCATGTTTCAGATTTAAAAGCCTTAACAGAACTGAGAAGCAGTTACATTTACCCAGAATATAATCTGACTTTCATTTTTTTCTATTTGTTTTGCCAACATTATCATGTAAGTGTAAAGGGAGTGCTTTGAGGATCAGAGATCCCCAGACATTTAGGTTTCAGAGCAGGTTTGCCTGGTGGTGTTTGGGCTCTACCCAACTCACAGACTTATGGAAGGTTACTTCCTGATATATTGCAATATACTCCCCGCACATTATGTACTGTGGCTCTGGGACCACTAACATGTCAGAAGATTACTGAAGGTAGACATAGAATTACCAGCTTTCGATTTTGTTGAATAAACATATTAAAAATTGAGCATGCTCAAACATTATCCTTTGATAAAAGGTCATTTAAATATGTAAAAGTAGGAAGGACTAATCTCAGAATAATAAAAAAATGATGAATAATTTAGCTTTAGTTTTATGATGTCATTTTATTCCTTTGCTCTTATTTATTCATTTTGCTATTCTAGTGAAACTGGTGTTCACTGACACTGGTCCAGAGTCAAAACACTTGGGAACCACTAGTGGTAGTTTTCAAGTTGGAGAAAATTAGCATTTTGATATTTGCTGACTTTTGATCTTTAGTTTACCCATCTGTTACCTTATGAGATTGTGCCAGTGATATGTGATCACAAATGCATGATGTTTGGCATTTGTGAGTTCAGTGAATGCTAGTGGCCACTGAACAGTGAGAGAGCAACAAGAGGACAGAGTTGGAGGCAAGGCTAAACTCAGAAACCTAAATAAATTCCAAACTGTAGATCCTCCTTCTCAACCAGGGACTGACTGTATTTCTAGAGGTGAACTGATGTGTCAAGATTTATGAGTGCGGAGAGAGAGAAGAACCAAAGAACAAGATTAAGTTGGAGGCTCACGCCCCAGAAAACAAAAAATAAAGCTTAGAGTCAGCATATGCTTGGGCTTGGGCGAACTTCACATAGGAATGACTTTAAAGCCAACTTTGCTTCAGTTGATGGAAAACATCTTAAACTCAATGAATGAAAAGCATCATGAGACACATGACTCAGTAAACAAAGGGTGTGGAGCCCAAATTACCTTAATCTCACAAGCCATAGTTAATTACATAAGAATGAATTGTTCCACCCTATAAAAACTGAAGAAATATCTGCTCTTTTGTTAGTGCGACTTGTGTTGAACCTCTGTATATGGCTGTTATAAAGTTTATGTTAACACAAACTCAATTGTGCACGATATTTACTTTGTAAACTATTAGAAAAATGTTTTCAAACACTGAATTTGACTCATAATGCAACGGAAATTTGTGCAAGATAATACTTTGCTGTTCAAGTAGAGTCCGGATCAGTGAGCTTTTTAGTGCTTACATTTAAAAGCAAAACAAATACTTAATTGTAACGTGTTTAACCAGCTTTCCTCTCTTTCTCTCTTTCATTGACTTCAAAAAGTTACACGAATGTTGGAAAATTTATTTTAAACTTTTATTATTAGAGCCTAAGTGTCAAGAATTGTATATGTATATTGCCAGTCTTCACAACGGTCTTGTAAAGTAATTATTAGGATATTTGTTTTAAAGATAAAAAAACAGCCTTGGAGAGTAAATAACTGCTAATTTACTACTCAGGAGTGACAGCTGGAAACAGAAACAAGGCTGGTTTCAAACAAAGAATGTGCACTTCCTTCCTCACACTACAGAAGATGGGAAAGCTTTGAGACTCTTCTCTCTTGACCTCACTTGGAAGCAAAGCAATCAACATCCATTAAGTATTAGAATTTTGTCTTACAGCATAGTAAGTGTGCAATAAAATAATCATTTATTTAATTTTAATTTGCCAGTATACCTTATAATACTGTATCAGATTTATGTAGGAATACGAATTAATCTTTGACATTGACACATAGTTACAACCAATATACACCTGTGGGTTAATAGAACCATTGGCAATTCAAGGAAAACAGTGACAGGGTAATTTCAAATTTAGATACTGAGTGCATATATACAAGACTTTTAGACAATTTTGTGTCTATTTAAATAAGGTTTCAGGTATCATAGTAACAAAGTTTTGGTCCACAGTCATCTTCTGCTATACATTCTTCCTTGATGATCTCATCCTATGGTGCGGTTTCAGCAAGTGCCCAATAGGATAATACTTCCTAAGCTAAATCTTCAGCCTAGACCTCTGTCTTTTAGCTCCATAACATAATTTCTAATGATTCGCTGGACGTCTTATGGATGCTTTACAACTTCCTTAAATATAACAGTTTTAAACTTTTTTCCCCCAGACTGCACTCACTATCCATTAGTTCTAATATTGGTGAATGTCACTACCATCTACCTAGTACCCTAAGTTAGAGAGCCAAATTCCCTCTTGGTCACTTCCCACGTTTAAGAGGTCACTTTTAAACAGTGCTTATCTTTTTTTTTTAATATATCTTCTATTTTTTTCTTAATTCTTGCAGTTATTATCTTACTTATATTACTTTAAATGCTTCTTAATAGATCTCCCCTCTTCCATTAACTAATCAGGTAATTCAAGAGATATGTTGTGGGTACCTGCAATGTTCTAGGTGCTGGAAATACAATGAAAATAAACAAATAAACATAGCAGAACTAATGATGAGAGGAGATAGAAATGAATAAGATAAGTAAATTAAGGGGAAAAAAAGCAAGGAGGTGGGAAGGGAAGTGTGTATGGGGTGCTGAAAATTTAGATACAATGGCCAGGAAAGACCCTGCTAAGAAAGTGCCATGTGAGTAAAGACCAGAAGCAGGTGAGTGAGCAAGTCATGAAGACACCACATGAAGAACGATACAAGCAGAAGGAGTAGTAGGCCCTGAGTCAGGAGCTTACTGGTAAATTTGAGCAACAGGTAATTGGACTGAAGTAGAATAAGCAAGTTAGGGGTAGAAGTACATTAGGGGGAGATAAGGTTAGAAAGATAGGAATAGGGAGCTGGGGTAGGGGCAGATCACTTAGGGTTTTATGTGTAAGGGCTGTCATCTTTATTCTAAGTGAAATAGAAAGTCTTTGAGGGTTTTGAGCAAAAGAGTGACATCAGATCTACTTTAATAGGTGGAGGGAGTAGAGGACCAGGATTGGAGTAGGAAATGACTTAGAGATCATTCAATCATTAGGGTGAGATATAATGGGAGTTTAGGTGGGGTGGTAGCAGTGGAGTTGGTGAGAAGTGGCTAGAGTTTGGATATATTTTAAATTTAGACCCTAGAGGATTAGTCGATTCACTTATAAGATGTAGGAGAAAAGAGGCATCTAGATTGAATCCAAGATTTTTCTTTCCAATTAATGTTTTAAAATCTATCTAGAGATTTTTTTTTTTGAATTAGAATTTTAGGTTCTAAACCCCTCTCCTTCCCATACCTCATTTGAAATTTACCTATGGCTCGTCAAGATTCTCAGGATGGTAGCTAAACCTTCCACATGGCATTCAAGGACCATCACAGTTACCTCTACAGCTTCATCTTCTGCCACATCCTCACCTACTCACTTATCCCCAGCCAGATGTCTGGTGAATTCTCATTTATTTCCGAAACAATTCAAGCATTTTTCTTTTCCCACAAGGTAGTTACATTCTTGAGCCCTAGCTACCCCTCATCTGATTTCCAATAGCCCAATGAACTTCTCTATTCTAGTCCTTATCTCTTCATGTTGTGAACAATGATTTATTTTCTTGCCTGCACCCATTGTTAGGCTGTAACTCATGAAAGACAGAGATACGTCTTGTCTGTCAGGATATTCCCCATCCCTATAACAATACCCATTAGCAAGATCACATCAGGCCTTAATTGTGGAAAAAATGATGAATGAGACTGCAGAGAGGAATTTTAAAATAATTGTACTGTAGTTTAGAGAGACTTTATATAGGATTATA